TTTCTCTCTCGCTCGCCTACAACCTTTCCACAAGAACTTCGTCATCCCCTTTGCAAAACTATTTGGATCTAAAAATGCTCTCCCTCGCCCCCAAAGCCTTATCGCTCGCTGCTCGCCCCCCAAAGCCTATCGCTCGCTGCTAGTCACCGAGCCGCTTGCCCACATCCACGAGAACTTCGTCCTTTCCCTTTGCATAAACAGTATGTTGTGACACAGAACGGACGCCACCACATTTAGAGTACATATCATAGACATGTTCAACCCTGATTATAGATCCCTACATGTATGTGGAGTTCATAACGAGGTACAAACAACCCCAAGATCGACAGAGGCAGCTATAGCCTCGCAGCACTTGGGTGTAAGAGTCTCATTCTACCTAGGGATCGGGCGGCATGTGGTCATATAGTATCCCAGAGTGTGGGCGTCACACCCATACATCATCGATTTGATTAATCTTGAGTAGCTTATGGTTGCCAGTTGCAAGTACTCGATATTAAGATTTTGACCTTTTCACATAAATGAAAGAAGTGGTGGATAGCCCATGGATCCATAAATCCACCCAATCTAAACCCCATATAGCCAGCTTATTTACGGATGGACTAAAAAAGCAACAAAACATGTTACTCACCCCGCACACCCATGTTCTACAACCACGAGCCATTAAAAAAATCAACTTTTTAATCAATTTACTGTGCAAAACTGAAATGAAGATATCCTTGATGTTTTATTAGCATGAGCCATAAAAAACAACTTTTTAATCATTCGACCGTGTGCAGAACTGAAACAAAGATCTCCTAGATGTTCTAGGATCATTGTGTGTAGAACTGAAGCTAAGATCTAAAGGTAGAGGCACGTGTACTCTCTTACCTGCCTCCACTGGAAGCCCACCAGTGACACCGCAGTCGAGGATATGAGCCTCCACCGGAAACCCACCAGTGGCGCCGCCGTCGAAGATGGGAGCCTCCACCGGAAGCCCACTAGTAACACCGTCGTCGAAAACAGGAGCGAGGAGCGCCACCCCCGCCGCACAAGGAGCGGCAAGACAACGCGATAGGTCACAGCCCTCTATTCTAGCTAGCAGTAACCAGAGGAGAAGAGCGGCGAAGCATCCGTGACGGTTCGCCTCCATACTCGCCAGTAGGTTTCTTCCCTCCCTCGCTCCCTCTACTCTTTGCCTTTGAAGAAAGATGAGGGGAAAGACGGAAGTGGGGTTTATTTATATATAGTGGAGGTGGAGGCAACGCACTCGCCGCTCGCCCCAAAAGCTGCTCTCGCTCCCCCCCCCCCCAAAAAAAAGGCCGGTAACCATGGGCCCCAGCAACCACTCTTTCCTCTCAATCACCTACATTTGCCCCTGTTCGCTTGGCTGATAAGCCATGGCTGAAAGTACTGTTGGCTGATTTATTGTGAGAGAAAAAAATTATTCGTTGATTAAAAAAGTACAACTTATAAACTAAGCGAACAGGCGATTGCCTAGTCCGACCCACAGAAGGCGCAACAAGACGAGGGTAGCCCGTAGAAGACACAGCAGGACATCGTATTAGTAGTTCACTTGTCTTGCCTGTCGCTTTGCTAAATTCCTACTGCATCACTTGTATGCTAATTAATTAACCAATCCTAATTGTAGTTTATGTTCTATATGTTTTGGACTTGCTGTAATTTGAAAATTCTGAATGTGTTATGATTGTTTACCCAGCAACCTACAAGTCACGGATGATTGGTGTCACTTATGTCATAGCAGTTTTCGTCATTGTAAGATGTGATGATGGAGCAGGATAAAATGGTTGGCTATTGTCTTAAGCACAACACTCTGCATTTAGAATCCCAGTTGTTGCTTTGCCACTCGTTCGCCATTCTGGTTGAATGTCTAGGCATCAGGGAGCTATTTCAGACATCTTAATCTTATACTTAACTTACTCGAAATATCAGTATGTAATTGTGTTGTTGAGAGACTCTACTTGCCACGTTGAACTGTATCAGGCTTTTGATTTTAGATTTCTATATCTGTGTTTCCCATATCAAAATGAATAAGGATGGAGTCAAGAACCGAGGGTTGTAAACAGGTTAATGTATGGATAAATTCTATTGTAAATGATATTTTGCGACACTTGTAAATGATATTGTCCCTCTACGGAGCGTCAGCCGAACCTCCCATTTCTTTTTTCTTGGGGACGGATTGTCAAAGTCAACTTGCTACAGGTGCAGAGTACATTTGAACATTAACAACACATCTGATTCGAAAAGAAACACACATCTAACAAACTTATGCCAGTACACAAATCAAGGTTGAAGAACACTCACTAGACTACCATATCACCACTCGCTGCGTCACACGTCCCGTTCTCTCTACCATGTCAAAGCTAACCCGTCGCGTGCTGCTTGGTGCAGACTGCAGACAGTTGACGCCAACAGCTGAGCATGGTAGGAATAAACAGCAATAACCAGCATGGCAAGAGCATGTCGTACGGTAGTAGGGGGTCCGGGTAAACAATCCGAACCAGCTCACCGAGGCCCAAGAAGCAAGTTCGCCATGAGCAAGTTGCTCGCGCTCGGACTCGGAGAAGAGAGCTAGGTCCGAGGTCCAGGATACGACCTTCGCCAGCATCGAAGACGTGGTCGCGTTCGTGGCCCGGCTAGACGAAGAGCTCTCCCTCCTGGTGGGTACCAAATACTAATTCGGTGCCATTGATCGAATTTATTTCTGTTGGAACACGCGCCACGTTGATCAAACCAAACCATCTTCAGGTCGACGAGCAAGCGGTCCTCTAGCACTTCGACTGGCCGGAGAGAAAAGAGCGGATGCGCTACGATCTACGAGACGCGGCTGCCAAGTACCATGGGCTCCTGCATGCAGCTGGAAAAGCAGATCGCGGATCGCGCCGTTCCTCGATGACGACCCCGCGCTTCACCGCGACCGGCGCTCGGCAAGATGTTCTCCCTCTTTGAAAAGTGCATTTAGAGCGACGCTAATAATATAGTCGACTGCTGGCGATAAGGGTTTTTTTAGCCTTTTCTCAATCCACCTATATAGTAGTCAGCTCTTCATTATTAATACATGGTTCATTTGTCTCTTTCACAAAGTTTTCTTATGCCTAAGCCGGCTATAAACTTACAACCCGCTTCTCCTCTCTTTTCCGCCTCAGCATTTAGTCAGCTTACAACCTCTTATTATAGTTGCTCTATGTCACGCTGCGAGTACTTGAGTGGATGTTACCACCGCTTTCTCCACTGATCCAGCCAGGTTCCACTGATTGTTTTGCAGATCAGAGAAGAGCGTGTACAAGTTCATACAAGAGCGCGAGGCTGCTGACGCCAAGAGCAATCTCATGCCGCGGTACGAGGAGCAAGACATACCGGTAGGATGGATGATGTCGCACACGGGTTTGATTGTCAAGGTGCGTCGCTACATTTAGACACGCTCGTTGTCTGACTGAAGTGAACTGCTCCATTTAGCACTACACGGTCACGGTTACTGTAAGCACCTAAAGCCAGCCTGCATTTTAATCTGAGTCCTCGTCTTGTGATGCGATGACATGCACGTGGCAGATCAAGTCGGCATGCGTCAACCTGGCGAAACAGTACATCAAGAGAGGTGTAACCGAGATCGATGGCCTGAGTGGCAACACTGAGGAGCAGAGCAGGGAGATGAACTTTTCAACCGTCACATCTGAAAGAGCAGAACAGGGAAGTCTTGCTCCATCAGGGTGCCAGGTTCGCCTTCCGTGTTCATTTAGATATAAAGGCGCGCTGAATCGGCGGTCTCCCAGGGTGTCCACGTACGTTCTATTTAGTTGGTGCGTTAGATAGAAATTCCACGACTCAGATAAAGCGCGTCACAGCCAGTCTTCCTCCATACGTTCGGCGGTGGATAGATCAAACATGTGGACGCATTCAATGAAGTAGATGTAAAATTAAATGGCCATACATGCAATAACAATGTACTTTGCGTGCCGGAGGATGCAGAGGCGTCAGTAGAGCTGGGCTCCACCATGGTCCTCTCATGTAAAATGGTGCTCCTTCCTCTTTCTCTCTCTCTCGTCGGCGGCCTCCTAGGGTGTCCACGTACGTTCTATTTAGTTGGTGCGTTAGATCAAAATTCCAAGACTCAAAGTGAAGCGCGTCACAACTAGCCTTCCTCCGTGCATTCGGCAGTGGATAGATAAAGCAAGTGGACGCATTCAATGAAGTAGATGAAAAATTAAATGACCATGCATGCAAGGACAATGTACTTTGCGTGCCGGAGGATGTAGAGGCGTCGGCGGAGCTGGGCTCCACCATGGTCCTCTCATGTAAAATGGTGCTCCTTCCTCTCTCTCTCGTCGGTGGCCTCCTAGAGTGTTCACGTACGTTCTATTAAGTTGGTGCGTTAGATCGAAATTCCACGACTCAGATGAAGCGCGTCACAATCAGCCTTCCTCCGTGCATTCGCAAGTGGATAGATGAAGCAAGTGGACGCATTCAATGAAGTAGATGAAAAATTAAATGGCCATGCATGCAAGGACAATGTACTTTGCGTGCTGGAGGATGTAGAGGCGTCGGTAAAGCTGGGCTCCACCATGGTCCTCTCATGTAAAATGATGCTCCTTCCTCTTTCTCTCTCTCGTGTAAATGGCAGGCGGCAACAGCTGCTTGCTCCTCTACTCCCTCCCTCACTCTCCCTCACTCTCAGCAGCGGCGCAGGAGCTCTGGCGCGGGCAGGCGGGTCTGGCATAGTGGCCACCGACACAGGAGGCCCCCAGCGCGGGCAAGGCCTCGCTCACGCTGCCTGCGTGCGTCCTCACCTAGGGCGGGCCCCACGCGGAGGTGGCGCGGCGGCGCAGGTGGAGCGTGCAACGGGCGTGGTGGCGCAGCGACGCGGGCCGAGCACGGCGCGGCGGCGCGGCATCCCGGCATCATGGCCTCAGCAGTGGCGGCCTCCCACGTGGAGGCGGAGGCGGCGTTGCTGCTGCGGCGCGTGGCGAGCTGCTGTTCTAGACGAATGCGACCTCCGTGCAACAACAATGGAAGCCATCCACCTTGCCTATGTGCTCGTCTTCCTCTTGCCCGTCGTCTTCCTCCTCCGTCTCCGGCGCCGCGGGCCTCCTCTAACCAAGCGGCCAGCAACAACGACGGCTCACTGCCCGCACCCCCAGCAAAAGCTGGCGTTGCACGCCTTCTTGTCCCGCTCGCTCCGCCGGTTCACTGATGGCGTCCTCGACGTGCACCTGCGCCGCCTCTTCCTACTACTCTTGGACGCCGCCTCCACGAGGGACGGCGGGGCCGTCGACCTGCAGGACGCGCTGCGCCGGTTCGGGTTCCGCGCCATCTGCCACGTCGCGTTCAGCATAGAGAGCGTGGACGGCGGCGTCGACTACCCCGTGATGCAGGAGGCGCTCTTCGTGGCGTTTGACACGACCATCGCGATCTCCTTCCGGCGCGCGCTCACGCAGGCCACGTTCGTGCGGCGGCTCACCAAGCTCCTCGACGTTGGCAAGTCACGCCGGCTCCGGGAGGCCGTCCATGTCATCGACGCCTACGCCATGTCCGTCGTCGAATCGAAGGCGGCAGCGTGTCATAGGAACGGCGTCGACGACGGGAGCGCGGACCTGCTGTTGCGGTTCATGGCGGCCATGGACGACGACGGCGGCGACGGCGGCAGCGAGCTCGGCGCCATGTTCCCCACGCCAGCAGCCAAGCTCCGGTTCTTGCGGGACATGGTCGTCACCTTCGTGCTCGTCGGGAAGGACACGACGTCGTCGGCGCTGACCAGGTTTCTTCGGCTGCTGCTCGCGAACCCACGGTCGCGGCGGCGCGCGCGCACGAGAGGCAGCGCGTCATTATCGTGCGATAGCGATGGCGAGTGAAGGGATGCACTACCTACACGCCGCCATCACCGAGGCGATGCGGCTGTACCCCCCGGTGCCGTTCAACTGCCGGGTCGCGGTGCGCGACGACGTGCTGCCGAGCGGCGCGGCGCTGCGAGCGGGCTGGTACGCCAACTACTCGGCGTACGCGATGGGGCAGATGGAGAAGCTGTGGGGCGAGGACTGCTTGGAGTTCGTGCCGGAGCAGTGGCTCGGCGAGCGCGGCGAGTTCATGCCGGTCAACGCCGCGCGGTACCCGGTGTTCCACGCTGGGCTGCGGTTGTGCCTCGGCAAGGAGATGGCGTACGTGCAAATGAAGACGGTCGCCGCGGCCGTACTCCAGGGGTTTAGGGTCGACGTGGTGGCGCCGGTGGCTAGCATGGAGGCGCCGCCGGCGTACGAGATGACGGTGACGATGAAGATGAAAGGAGGGCTGTTGGTGCGGCTCAGGAGGCGGGAAGAATAGTCCTGAGTCGTGACAGACTAGTGATGCTGGTTGTTCTTCCTTGACACGTGAATTGTTTGGAAAAAGACTGCGTAAAAGTCATCACACCACACAAAAGACAGAGTCCCGTCTGATGTTTGAAATAGCCGGATACAGGCACCGCTATAGCTGGATTTAGCCTCTGAAAAACCTGATGCTAAGGTAATCCACATTTAGCGCTAAATTATTCTTGCCGCTGCTAGCTGGAAACCAGTTTAATCTAGTAAGTGTATGCAGTTGCAGTTATGAATATGAATGAATCGCAGCTCAAAGAGAGGAAAACCAAAGTGGCACCACAAAAAGTCAAAATGATGGACCCACCCACAAAAAATTAAAATAATGAACTCACATGATACGCAAAATTAAATAGGAGGAAGGTTATCAGAGTAGAAATTTAGAGATACGAAGGCACGTCGTCCAGGCGACCTCTTAGGGTGTCCACGTATGTTTTATTTAGTTGGTGTATTAGATAGAAATTTCACGATTCAGATGAAGTGCGTCACAACCGGCCTTCCTCCATGCATTCGGCAGTGGATAGATGAAGCAAGTGGACGCATTCAATGAAGTAGATGAAAAATTGAATAACCATGCATGCAAGGACAATATAAACTGTAGGTGTACTTTGCATGCAAAAAGTTACTACGGTAGGGGGCTTTACATCACTATGCTTTCATGTGTACTTTACATAAAAAAAAGTTATTATGACAGAAGGATTTTACATCACATGTGTCTTCTTCCTTTACATTAATGAATTTACTATTAATAGATACTAGGCAGTAAATTTTCATGCATGCACGGGTGCCTTCCTAAGCTATCCAGGAATTCACTCAATAAATTTGAAAGCACTGGATATCTTCACCTACGCAGGGTGCGTCGAAAGCAGATGAACACATTTAATGCCTCACATCCATACTACCATCAGATAAAAACAAGTCGGGCATGTGGGCACATTTAATGCCCCTCCTCCTTACCATCAGATAAAAACAATTCACCGATCATGTAGGAACATTTGTACTTACACATGCATCCATGCATCTAAGAGACGGCTTGGGTTGTGTGCATATTGCTACCGAGGTGGTCGATGATTGAGGTTGGTCGCCATTAATACGGCTACCATACTTGTATCTGCACCTTGGTGGCCTCTGGCAGCCCCATGATACCCTAAGCAACGCTGAGCACAGGACCAGAAAAAAAGTAAGACATGCATTAATGAGTATATTTATTCCCATATCAGAGGGGCTTCGGTTCCCAGCTTGGCTTTGTAGGTTATACGAGATCTACAACAATAATTTGGATGTTACTACAGATGATCCAGAGGACAACCCAGAGAAGGGAAGCAGCTGCCATCAAAGTTCAGAAAAACCAGCGTAGGCATCAGGCAAGAAGATCCTACAAGCTCCACTATGCTTTTGTTCTTGTAGTGCAAGCTGCATTGTGAGCAATGGCAGCACGAAAGGAGTTCAGATTTAAGAAGCAATCTACGGGAGCAGTTACAATTCAGGTGGTTTTGGGCTATTTTGATGAGTACGATGGCAGCAGTGTAGAATCTTACGTCTAGAGTCTTTTTAGGGTAAAAAAAAAGAATTTTGCTCTAAAATACCATATATGTGTATACGTGCTAATTTTTTTTCTAAAGATGTTGGATATGGTCGAGAGTACCCAATCGTAACTGTATGTATATGCACCCCTAGCTTTGTTAGTCAAACATTTGTATATTTTAAACCATTGATCTCCATCAAAATTATATAGATTCATGCCACTATTTATTTGGTGACTCTAGAAATTAATTTTATTATTATACAGCAGAGGCAATATATTTTTAAATTCACTATGAGAAATGATTTCATAATATATAATTCATAAATTGTGAAACAAAAAAATATTTAATGATGGTAAAGGATCATAATATTTGACTTAGAACAAAGCTAATGTAATATGTCAAATAAATAACAGAAGTACCCTTGCGTCAGGGGTGAAGGTGTAACACCTCTGGTGTTACAGCTCACTAAGCACTAAGATTATGACCTAAGAGATAGATCTATTAATATATTGAGTTAGTTACGTAAATGCCTATATGTGTTAATGAAAAAAAACCTAACGCGAAGAGTAGAATAAATAGTTCTAAATATTGGCATGAAAGCAATTTTTATAAACAAAATAAAATATAACTTGTATTTAGTACTTGAATAAAATTTGGAGCGCAAGTTTAATAGATGAAAATGCAACTTTTGTTTCGGTAAATAAAAGTCGTTTGATAGTATTTTGATAGATCATGTTTGTGCATTGTAGTGCACGTATTGCTTGCAGATACGCCATCCATAGGTGTCACGTGTGTCGTATGGTGCACGACTGACTCGTTCCTATTCTACAGTTAATGCTAAACTGTGGCTTTGTGCTTCGCGTCACCTGTGGTTCATGCCTGCCGTGACCCGCATCTCCCCGTACTCTTTTCTGTGCTCTTGTCGGAACCTTGTCATGCAGCCGTATTAGTCATTAATGGCCTCGGACATCGCTCGTCTCGAACGCACGAAAAATTCGGTCGATTCATTTATAGTGATCTCGTGCTGGAACCTTGGTGGACCGCGCCAGGACCACTGACTGCTCTGCCTTTATAAGCAGGGTCTGGCTTAGCCATTGTTACGACCACTCGGTGCACTTTAGCTCGCCTAGCTTTTCCTTTTGAGCCAGTTTTTCGCTCAGTCCTTCCTTACAACCATCGTCAGTGATGGCAGGAGCCTGGGTTAGTAGTTACTGTCTGAACACCGAGGGTTTTCCCAAGATCCTGTATGCCACCCTGTAAAAGCTCAGAGTCAAAGATCGTCCCGAGTATGAGGGCCGTGAGTATGAAAAGCATGGCACTGAGCGGTGTGAAGTTACCGTCTACATTGGAAAGAGTGGAGAGTTCCCCGACATCACTGAAGCCTGGAATGTAACCGCAACCGGGTTTTGCTTTGTCGACACCTACCATGTTGTGGCCCTCAAAGCCTTATGTTACCTTTGCCAGATCTATGAAGAGCCCATTGCCCATACCTCCATTAGGTTCTTTCCACCTTTGGAAAAGAATCGACAGGCATGGAGGGCTCGCATGGAGGCTTTGCAAGGGTGGAATGCGCAAGAAGATAGTCTTACCACGGTGCACTTGACCACGTACCTGCTTACTTTGGATGAGCAGTATGACCGGCAAGCCTCGGAGCTGAGGAAGTGCCTTCGACGAGCCGAGAAAGCTGAGATCTTCTCCAGGATGCTCCAGCTGCAGCTTGCCGAAGCGCATGCCAGTGCCGCAGTCGCTGAGAGTCGGGAGACTGCCATGTCGGAAGCTCTGATGGAGGCTGAAGATCGACATACCTATCAGTTGGGAGAGGCCTACCTTGTCACCAGGGCCAAGCGGAGGACGTTGGCTACTAAACGGTAGGATCCCTTGATTGTGGAGGGGATCTCTGTCCACCCGCCAGAAAGAAGAAGAACCGGTGTTGCAGTACCGCCAGCACCTCCACCCTCAGAAGTGTTACAAGTAGAACCCTTGATTCCTCTCACTCAGCCATTGTCAAGAGAGGAGGTAGATCCATAGCCAGGGCTGTAGAAGAATCCACCGAGCCCGAGAATGAAGATGCGTGGTCCAAAGTAGATTAGTTGCCTTGGGATGATGTACCCGTAGTTAGTAGTGTCTTTCATCGCTGTCCACCGATATTATAATCTTTCCGTTGTATTTCGTCCGTAGTTGTTGAGGTAGTCCGATCTTAGGAAAAGTGAACGATGTGTCGAGAATGGGAGAGTAAGTGCCTGTATGTTGTACCAGCATAAGGACGTTCGGAATATGTATTTTATTTTATTTCGCTGTGTTATTGCGTCCATCTACCTTAAGTCTCGTTAGACGTGCTTACGTTTTTCAAGGGCGATGTTAAGTGGGTTACAAGAGAAATTATCATTCGGATGCCAGCAAACCAGCCGTGATTGGATAACATAGGACACTGTATCGACTAATTGTGGATGTCCCAGCAGAACACTTGAATCTCTTTAAATCAGATCAGTTGTTGTATTTGAAGTCCGTGTCCCTTATTGCTAAAGGAACCCTTGTTGTTTCAATCTTCCCTTGCAATACTCCTCTGATTCTGTGGTCTATGACACCACCGTCTTCATTGCGTGTAAGTTGGTAGTAGTTGCCTGGTTAATAGCTTATGGAGCCGCGACGAAACCGAGGGCCCCTGTGGAACAGCTGCCACATGGTGACGCTGCTCGACACGCACTGGTATCGAGGTTGTTGACCAAGTACCTTTACCAAGTTATACCGGCATACCACTTTTGATACAAATATTCGGGTGTTTGAACGGGAAATCAACAACGGGTTGATGAAATAGTGTTCTCTCAAAGTAAACAAGAGGAGGTGGTTTCGGAGAAAGCATGTATGTTGCGATCTCACTTCATACAAAGGTTGGCGCATATTGTGGACAAGAAAGGGAATGAAAGAAGAACACCTTGAAAAAGTTAGCCTTGAATAGTAGGGAGTGCTTAGAAAAGCCCGAGTGGATGTCAAGTCCCAAGCACTATGCCTAGCTCGACCATGCTACGCAAGCCGGGTCACTATCACCGCGTGCCCCGCGGACGCCGTCGGTGTCGGGCCCATTAGCACCCTGTCCTCGCATGGCCGCGACATCGTGCCGCATTCGTCGTCCTCGTGCACTGTGTGCTTTTCCTTTTCTCGGCCTCTGGTCCGCTCTTGATCCTCACCCTCGTCCCCGTACCGGACCCTCTCCCTTCTTTCTTCTTTTGGGGACACGGCCGCCCGCACGCCTCCCTCGTCGAGCGAACCCTCTCTCCTCTCCTTTATTCCCCTCCTCCGCTCGCTTGCGCAGGGAGAGCGCCATGGCCGACTTTATCCCCACGGCGTGAACCGACAGTGTATCCCATCCATGCCGTCTCCACTTCCGGTGCGCTGCGCCCCATCTCCGTTCGCCACTATAAGATGTCCTTGGTCCTTGCTCTTCTTCTTCATCCCCATCTCTCTCGAATCCGAAGCAGAGCTACGAGATCCAGTCGTCATTGTGAAACTAGGTTCGTCTCACAGAGGTGATGGTGTAATCTGAGAAAAAGGGATCTGGTTTTCGAAGAAGTTCAAGTCTACCGTTGGTTAGTTTGGTCTTAGGGTTCACGATGTTTGACTTCTCAGTCTCCTGTTTCTGGATCTGTTGGTCATACGCCATGTTTTAGATAATCATTATCTTGTTGTTTCTCCATTGCCTTCGTCTATCCCGACTTCTGGAGTAAGCCTTGATTGTACTAGGTTGCTCTTAACCATGTAATTTTAAATCCTGGTATAATTTAGCGTTCGACGTCGTGTAATCTTTCGTGTAATTCCAGATTTATGAAATGTGTTGTAGTTTTGCCTAAGGGAAGTGGATCCTAATTCACTCTTTTATAAACCCTTGCGTTAGGAGACATACTTGTGTTGTAGTTTTTGCTCTTTCCACCTATAATATAATCCTAGCCAATGTTGTGCTTTGAATCTAAGTGTGTTAGTTGCTTGAGCCCAACTCCATCAAATATTTCTTTCCACTAATATGTCACTGATTTGCTGGCCTAGAATAGGTACCATGTAATGACAACCAACCTCTATGTTGGTTTATAGCATTGTAATGAAAAAAGCCATGTTACCTTTTCTTCCCATATTTTTCCCATTTAATGTATCAAATAGATCAACCTTTCGTAGCAACACGATGAGAAAACATATTAGACATATGAGTCATATTTTTTAAGATTTTTTCTATACAAGTATATCACTCGGAGCGAAGCGCGGGCATCAATGGCTAGTCAGGTATGAAAGTGCGCCGTTGTCTTTATTTTGTTTTCATGGTTGACAGTTCTAGATTAGTTTTGTCCCGTTGCCAATTTGCAGGCGGATTCACAGCCGAGAGCTTGGATGCTTTTGCGGAGCTAAGAAGGTGACACATTGATGGAACAAACTAACAACCTGTACAGAGTTTCTTTTTTGGAGCTCAATCAAATTACCAGAGTGTGATTTGAACTTTAGTGATAGAAAACAAATCTGTAAATGTCCCACCCAGGACATGGGCCTCTAAAATCGTGTGTAGTCCTCCTACAAAAGAAGAATACGGTAGTAGCTCGCTCTGCTGACTGCTTTTACGTGTACGATTCTTTTACCTCTTTCCATTTCGTGATTGCAAGTGCTCTCTGCTCGTTGCTAGTTCCACATGTCGCCGCGCATGCCACGCGCCCACGCAGCACTGCGGGCGCTGCCACACGTCGCTCCGACTCCGAGCCCTTGCACTTAACCCCCTGGATCCCCGCCCGCCATCGCCCAGCGGCCAACGAATTCTCTCCCCCTTCCATAAGCGCACTCTCGCCTCGCCATGGCAGACCGGCCGCTGCCCGGGCCACGCGCAGCCCTGCCCAGCCCCGCCGCCGCCCGGCGCGGCCACGCGTCGTCGTCGTCGTCGACGGAGCGCCAGCAGCGCTCGCTGCTCGGACGCGCCGTCCAGACGTTCCACCACGTCCACGGCTCCACCCAGCAGCTCCTGGGCTTCCTCGCGCTGGCCGTCACCCTGACCGCGCTCCTCGTCCTGGCGGGCGTCACGCTCACGGCCGCGCTGGTCCTGCTCAGCCCGCTCGTGCTCCTCACCGTCCCGCTCTGGGCGCCCGTGGCGGTCGTGGCGCTGCTGACGGGGGCCACCTCGCTGCTCGCCTGCTGCGCCGGCGTGGCCGCGGTCGCCGCGGGCACGTGGGCGCACCGCTACTTCACGGGACGCCACCCCGTCGGCGCGCACCGGGTGGAGTCCGCCGCCGACCACGACCACTACGCCCGCGGGGGCACGGTCGCGGACGTGGCCAGCCGAGTCAGGGGGTACTACGACGCCTACGCGCGAGAGTATGGCGGGTACCCGCCGCGCTCGCACGCTCGGGTCAAGGACGCCGCGCCCGGGGCGTAGCCTAGCCCGTGTGCCGGGGCGGCATGGTTCATGAATCATGGGGCCTCGGGACTCGAGGTCGGATCGTTTTCTGAGCTGTCTTTTTTTCTCGTGCTGTTCATATGTTTTGTCGTTGTAGCAGTCGTGTTTCGCTAGAAGCGGTATGGCCACGTAATTTGGATTTAAGGGGTCTTGGAACTATTTCTTGTTTTGATTTTTGAACGAACTTGCATTTACAGTTTCTATCTCTATAGATATAAAAAATATTAATATTATTGAAAAAAAAAACAGATAGCCCAGGCGGTAAAAGAAAAGAAAGAAAACAAACGCCAATACACAGCTGGAACTCTGCGGACCAGCGGACGTCGACAACGATACGGGGCAGACGATAACGATATGGGGGAGTCGACACGCACGGCAAACTCAACATCACTCGACAACGATATCGACACGCATGGTAAAACTTCACAAACTCAACAAATCAACATCACTCGACAACGGTACGCACAATAAAAACTTCACAAACTCAACATCACTCGACAACGATATGGTTGAAGACACGCACCGTAAAACTTCACAAACTCAACATCACATTTCACAAAACTCATCATCACTCTCCTATATGGAGGAGTCGAAAATATGTACGTTTTTGGCATAGCTCCGCCATCGGCTTTGCTTCTAAAGCTGTTTGGAGCCATATTGTGCCAAACGAGCTAAAATAAAACAGCTTCATTCATGAAGCCTTTTAAAACGTACTCTCACAAGGGATGAATGAGAGATGTAGCTGAAAATAGTAGCTTCACCTAGCTCCAACTCACAAATGGTGGGCCCCTGCGTGAGATTCTACGAGAGCATATTTTAAGGAGCTTCACATATGGAGTGTTTTGCCAAACATATCACTAACATAGCTCCAGTTCCACTAGTAGAGCTGCTCGTGGAGCTAAAGAAAAAAAAAAGTTACTAGTGAAGTGGAGTCATGTCAAACATGTAAGGTGTACAACTTAAACTAAACATCACAAAATTGGTGGCCAAACAGGATCAACTTAAACTGAACATCAGGACTTGGTGGCTAAATTAAGGTCCTGTTTAGATCTAATAAGATGGTCCTATTTAGATGTAATAAGATTATGTTTAGTTATCCAATAAGATTCCTCTTAGATCCCCTAAAGTTCTGTTTAGATCCACATCCACTTATTTTTAATGAGTGGACCCTGTTTGAATCCACTTATTTTCAAAGAGCTTTTTTTGATAAGTTGGCTTTTCACTGCTACCCAAAAAAACTGACTTCTAAAAAAACTAAAGCAAGATTTTTTACATACCGGCGGCCACAACTTTTGATCTCCCTCGGTATATACATCCTCATCGCCGCCGGCAGCACTGTAGAGAGGACAAACTTGTGGCTCCATCCCCCAACCCATCGGGCCTATGCTCCTCTCTGCTAGGCCCATCTTGCTCGTCGATGGGCCTATCCCGCTCGTGCAGAGCTAAAAGGCGGCGCTTAGCGAGGAGCACAAGGGTGAGTTCGGGCTATGGCATTCGTAGGTGAGTTCAGGGTGGCAATGATGCCAAGCGAGCTCGGCCCGGTGGTGGTCGGCGGGGAGTTCAAGGGCGAGCTTGGGACAAATGACAGTCACTGGTGAACTTGGGCCGATGACAGTCATAGGTGTCCACTAAACTTTTCGTACCTGACTCTACATCATCGATGCAACTTCCTTAGCCGAACTCATAGGGCTATCGGTCTTTCAGCCGGCTGCTGGCTGTAAGGTTTCTTTGCAGCTTTCTCGTAGCCCATCCATATAGTAGTTAGCTATTCACTATTAAATACATGTCCTACTTGTCTCTTTCACAAAGTTTCTTGGTTACGTAACTATGCCTAAGCCGGCTGTAAGTTTACAGACCGCTTCTCCTCTCTCTCTCTCTCTCCTCTCTCCTCCATCTCAGCATTTAGTCAGCTTACAGCCTGCTATTATACTTGCTCTATGAACACAACCCCTTCCTTGATAGTACGACGCTGCATGCCCATCTGTCACTAAGGTTGTGCCATGCATGATGGATTCAGCCTAGGGGTAGAGGGATATGCAAGGAAGCTAAATTCGCCTACCACAACATCAAATCTACGATGTTTGCACCCAGCTATGCCACTAGTGAAGCTATGTCACACGCGATAGACTATCTCGCTTGACAGGGAAGGCCCCGTCACCATCACCTGCTTACAACAATCCAGTCTTTGGCAATGGTAAGGGAGGCGAGGTCATTTCGGAAGGTCCTAATGGCGGTGCTAGGTCCAAGAGGGATGGGGGAGGGAGGGAGGGACCACCCGTGTCGTCAATGAGGACGACATGGGGACTGGAGAAACTCGTGAACCCTCTTGATTTTGAGTATGTGGTGGCATGATTTTATGAATCATAATAGCAGAGGTAGAGATGGCAACGGGTGTATACCTGTCGGGTAATACCGTCTATACATGCACTCGATAGATAAAATTATACCTGTTAATATACCCATACTCGTCCACAGGTAAAAAGAATTTACCCATACCCATACCGCGCAGGTAAAAATACTCAACAAGTAACCCGCACTTGAATTCACATACCCGCTATAGAAAACAAAAATCATGAATATATCATATGATTGAGTCATATATTGACAAATATTTGTAAACAGAAATTGACAATGATAACAGAGCAAGAAAACCAATTAATAATCTAGTAGTCATAGATATGTATATTTCGTAGTTGGTGGACCGTTTGGCACCAGACATGATAAATTAACATACCTGCAGATGAAGAAATAATCCACCTCTTTACAGGCTACTCGGGTTTGTGGAATATCGTTTGAATTAGGAGACGCACTATAGCATGCTAGTGACTGCCTGCTAACAAATTCGATGTTCCAGACCGAAACAGAGTCGCTCATGCAGCGAAAGCAGAAGTGAGGGCCTGAGAAGGAGTGAGGGGTACTGCCAGCGTGCATGCGTCCAAAACGTGAGCAACACATAGTTGAACAACCTCTCATCTACCATATATTTTTTGGAAAGGATTCATCACTGTTCATCTACCAAGATCTTACACACGACACAAGCTACCAATCAACTTCTTATACTACATTTTTTCACTGAAACAATATAATATACTCATTATTAGTTACTCAGTTCCACAAGACAACAGATCGATCGAACACGCCACGAAACACGAGAGGAAGCAGTGAAGACACCAAAGGAAAACCGTGTCTATCTTCATCCATCCATAAGCTAGCATAGTAGGAGTACGTGCAGGCTGCTGTGCAGTGCAGATCGTCTTATGCGCGATCCATATAGCCGAGCTCGGAAGGATGGACGGGGCTCAGCGGCGGCGGCGGCGACGGCGGCGGTGTGCGGGGCTCCCAAAGCCGCTGGCCCTCGCAGTCGTAGTGTATGGCCCCCGTGAACTCCAGTGGCTGGCACCTACGCCCCAGGAGGATCGTCCGCCGCCACACGCACGCCTCATCGCCGTCGAGGAGGTCGTCGTCGTCGCTTCCTCGCCCGCGCTTCCGCTCCCCCACCCTTCTGGGCGGCTTCACCTTCTTCCTCAGCGTCTTGCTGCGCTTGACGACGACGAAGGCGCTGTCGCTGACGACGTCGCGGTGCCCCCCGCCGCACGGGAAGAACGGACGTCTGGCGACGACGAAAGCGGAGGACGTGATGCTCTTCCTGCGGCGAAGGGGCACCAGCCGCCGGGCCAGGGAGGAGAGGAGGGCGGACATGGCACTGAACATGGCGTGAAGGCAGGGTCGATCGGGTGCAACAGCAAGACTGCAGGTCTGCAAGTGCAATGGAGTGATGGCTTTTTTGGATTACTGTGGGGGCGAGAATCGGAATGCTATTAAAGGGGGAGCTGACGCCCAGTTGGCAGTGGTTTGGTGGACCGTTTAGCACCCGACATGATAAATTATGAAATTATTAGGGCCAGGCACCAAGCAGCATTTCAATTGCGCATTAAGGTTACAGGTTTAAATTTGCTAATTACGCTTTTGAAAATTAAATTATTGGTACCGTTGGAAAATTAATATATGCTATTGGTGATTGGTCACACTTCAAAACGAACTTTTAATAAGAATATTATAAGGAAAAAAGACCAGACCAAAAAATGAATATAATATGCAGAATAGTACGGAAGGAATGAGGTGCACAAAGCATTGCGGCACTGTGACAGTGCAGAAATGCCAGTATCATTTGAAATTATGAAATTCGAATAGTTTCTATAAAAGGATCACATGGGATTTATAGTAGAATCATGAATTCAGAGGAAGCTTGAGGAATGAAAACAACAGTTGCAAAAAAAAATTACAAATTCATTTTCAAGTTCTATTAGAATATGCATATAAGGTGATAAGGATAGCCACTGCATGCACGATTTTTCCCACTTCTGATGTTGCTGCTGCCTACAACTCTCTACCTTTTGCTCTACTAACCACCTACACCACGTACATCACATTCACTTATCACGGTTGCTCTTCCGCTCATTATACATTCTTTGACAAATTTGTCGACAATGGCATGCATCCTAGCCAGTAGCCACCTCCTTGGATGATGTTCACTTTGTTAACAAGCATAGACCAATTTTCTATTTTTTTTTTCAGGGAAGATGAAGGAAATTTCAACATTCTAAATAAACCTGGGGACGAATGCGTAGTTTGTGGAAACTTAACAAAAGTAATCTATTTGTAGCATTTGGATAGTTACAACATGCTTTGGACAAGTTTAAGTTCTTAATAGAAAACTTTGGCCGTCACTAGTTTTAAATTATATAGTTTGGAAATGTGAAAATTGTATAGGTGATTTTTTCTTGAAAATCCACTTATAACATAAAAATTATTGATTGTGTAAATATGATCAATTTTTTCGAGAACTTAAGAAGAAGAGTGCCGAACGAACGGTTTACACAGCGCAGCTATGGGAGAACCCATAGTGCACGTTACAAAACCACAGAAAAAGTGGTTAGGAACCTAAACGACAATAGAATAGAAAAAGAGGCGTTAAGGAGAGACCCTCTACCACAAACCTAACTGACTAGACGTGCAAATGAAAAATATATCAACACAAGGCTGCCAGCGTACAAGATGAAGCCGCGGTGGCAAAGCATCCACCGAGAAGAAACGACTACGGTGGTGAAGTATCCGCCCGAGCAAGATCACGCGGCAAAGCATCCGCCAGACTCAGCACGGCAAAGTAACCGCAAGTGGGGGGCCAACACGCACTCAGCAGCGTCTGCCTGAGGGAGGAACCCGAAGCGACGTCGGCGATAAAGTATCCGCACAAACAGCAACGATGGCAAAGCATCCGTCAACGAAGAGAGAGCGGCAAAGTATCTGCTGCGAAGAACCACACGACTGCGGCAACACCAGGCAAGCTAGACAAACCATTGCGAAGAGGAGCTTGAAGCGCACACAGGTACAGCACAGGGAGGAGCCACTCCGGCGAGCGTGGCAAGAGAGGGGCTACGGAAGTGCTCCAACGATGCCTTCAGGAAGGATATTGACATCTGCAGACGCCAACAACGCTGGTAGAAGCACATGAGTAGAACTTTTGTCCCTAGCCTTCCCCGACGAACAGAAACTTCGACGACGCCTTCAAGAAGGTAGATGACGCTTGCCGCACCACCGCTGCCGGCCCAGAAGAACCGAGCATGGTTTTCGCCTAGAGATTGTAACCGTTACACCCACAGCGGCGGCACTACCGGCCAAAGGCCGAAGCCACCAGTGCGGGCACCATGACTGTAGCCGCCTCCACACCACCACAACAGCCATGGCTTGAAAGTGGCGATTGTAACTATAGTATCTGTGGCTAGGGCGAGTAATAGGTATCGGGTATCGCTACAAAATCACAACAATTTATGCAAATGAACTATCTGGTGCCATATAGATTTATTTTGTGAGGGAATAATATAGATTTTCTGATCTATTACATGACAAAATTCTAAGTCTAAACTTGGTCCAAGTAATTGGTAAAGACATTTAAGGAGAAGGAAAATAAAAACTACTAGCGGTCACTGGAATTCTTTTGTCCTTACATAGGTAAAATTCAGCTAGATGTTATGTGTTGGTTTTATATAATTTTGAGGGAGATAGGTCGAAGTGAATGTGATGTAGGTTTTATAAATACATGACAAATTAGAGAACATATTATTATAGATTTTTATACCATAAAAACAATGATTAAATTTTTAAAGTTGACTTAGACAAACTATGTGTTACCTCCTACGCTTACTATCGCCATAATATGGAGCCAGAGCTAGCTGAAGCTCCACTAAAAAGGTCCTTATTTTGCTTTATGCTTGATGTAGTCCAAAATTTACAAGCCCAAGAAGCTTGGTTGGCTTCAAGACCGGAGAGAACTTGGGATTTTTGACAACCTGGCCTAGCCAAGCCTAATGTTCATAATTATTTGGTTTATCTGAAAAAGGAAGAAGTCTAGTTTTAACCATCGAACTATCACCAAAGTTTGATTTTGTTCATTAGACTCAAAACTCAGAAATCTTCGACCACCTAATAACTATCAAAACCGTTCACATTTACCATCTAATGGAGTCCAAGGTGGCTTTTGCTAGCATGTGCAATGCATGGCAGTGGTGCTCACCTGTCATCTCTCTTCCTTTACCTCTTCCTCTATTCTCTTTTTTCTTTCTTCACTTATCCTCCCTTCTCCTGCCACCCATGTGCCACCTCTTCCATAGCTTTGCTTCCCTGCTCGCCGAGCTCATTGTTGTCGTGCCACCTAGATCTTCCTAAGCTATAGTGGCTTCGACAGCTAAACAGAGCTCCTAGCAATTCCTGGATTGAGATCCGCTCAAGTTTTGGGTGTCGATCGAGGCATGGTAATGCTTGCCTCTAGGTAGGCAACAACGCCTGGATGGGCAGTGACTAGGAAGGACGGGGAAAGCCGACCTCATGAGATCCATTGACATTGAATGTGGTTAGTGAGTGGTTCTTGCTCTAGTTGTAGCAACAAGCATGTGTAGCTAAGACCTTGTCTCTCCCCTACTAACTGAGGTGCACAAGCGAGGCTGCAACCTCCTCCTCCTCTTCTTCTCCCACATTGCCAAGCCCATGGTGACGGCATTCCATGCCGACGAGTGCAAGGTCTGATGCATGCAAAGCATGGCCTACCACTAGATCCCTTGTGGTTATCATCTGTGGGCAGGGCCGATGCAACGTGACCCGCCATGGGGTCCTTGTGCTCATTGTCCTCGGGCACGGTCTGTCGAGGCATAGCCCCCCAAATCCTTGCACTCGTCTCCTCTCTCTAGCATGTCCTAGCAAAATTCACTAGGAGGTGGTGAAAGCCCTAGTTTGGTTTTGGATAATTGATGAAACCTAGTTTACTAACCCTTGTCATTAAGTGTTGTATATGAGATAGGGTGGTACACACCAAGTGGTGGAGCTAGATGATGGTCATGGTGATGGTGGTGGTCAAAAGAGATGATCAAGTGCTCCAACTTGGAAAAGAAGAAAGAGAAAAACCAAAACCAAGTGTTGATCAAGACAAAGGTATCAAATAGGTTTTTGTTTTAGCACTCAAGACACCATAGAGGGTGTGAGTGTGTTTAGAATCGATAGCCGTACTATTAAGAAGGGAAAACCTTGGATAAGCGGTTATCGAGTGCAACTAGGTGAAATGATTCTTGCATATGCATTAGGACCTAGTGTGCTAACAATTAACCCTTGAAAAATGCTTGAAAAATGCTAACACACATACACACGGGTTATACGCTTTATGGTTACCAACTTGGAAACAAGGGTGAAGTGGTTGAAGTGTTAGAAAAAGAAAAGGAGGATAAACCCTAGGACCGGACCCTGATAGGGTGAGTCCAGTCCGGACTCTATGGTGAAGCTGAGAGGGCTCTGCTGTGACTGGACTCGGCGTGGTGGTGAGACCGGACCCGACACTCGGGGTCCAACTGAGCTTAGGCGCAGGCGCGAGGCGATGTGGCTGTCGGAGAGTGACCAGACCCTGGCCCTAAGTCCGATCATGGGTGACCGGACCCAGTTCGAGGGGTCTGGGAGCTCTTGGTGTAAATTTGGCCACGATCAGACCCTAGTCAACTCGTTAGGACCGGACCTGACGTGGGTGCATCCAGCCATCATGACTTAGCGCGTGGGCACGAACTTCTATGAGGACCAGACCCTGCCCTGCGTCCGATCATCCGGACCGGGTCGGTCCGATCATAAAAATGCCTTTTGGTTGCTTACTGGAAGTGACCTGACCCTGAGTGGCGCCGAGTTTGGTCGTTGGTTAGGCAAGTCCGGTCACACATTAACTTTGCGCATGAACGTTAAGTGATCATTGGAATCCAATGGACAGGATTTGGATCAAGGACATGTGGCAGTCATCGGAGGATCGGACCTTGAGGACCGGACCTTGCTCAGAGTCTGGTCAGCTCTGCGTAGCCCAATGGCTCTTTGAGCCAAGGGGGCTCTATAAATAGAAGGGGGCGGCTCTAGCTCACTCTCTTGTATATTTTCATCGGTGACACATCCTTGTGAGCTAAAGCAAACACCTCCCACTCATCTCCATCATTGATTCATCATCAAATTGAGATTGGGAGTGATTTCTAGTGCATTTGCTTGAGTGATTGCATCTAGTGGCACTTGGAGATCGTTGTGGCTGCAGTTTTCTTGTTACTCTTGGTGGTTGCCGCCAACTAGACGGCTTAGAGCAGCTCTCGGTGATTGGTATGAGTTGGTGATTGTTTGTGGCTATCCTGGTGGTGATTTGT